GTGGCTGCTTGAGTTCTCCTGGTCTCGGACCCCATGTAGAGCTCCCTGGAACGTAAAGGTCCCTGGGATCCTGGGCTCTGCCGAGTGTCCCCCAAGTGTCCCTCTGTGTCAGCTTCATCTATGAGGATACTCTGGGTCTTAAGGGCCTAAACAATCAGGAAACAAGTGATTCTGTCAGAAAGAAACTTAATTTTGAATAAAGGAGCTATTTTGTGATCTTGTATCTTGTCATGAGAGGATGCACAGGTGACTGCCCATCTGACACCTGCCCCTGGGAAGCCTATCAGTCCCTGACAAGGGACCCTGGACGAGTAAGCTCATCGCCCCGAGTAGGAATTGATGTGGGAAAGTAGAGGGTGTGAGGAGATGGCACCTGACTTCTCTCTGGACGTCTTCTCAACCTTTTCTAATGGACCACGCCTTCCTGTGGGGTCCAGGAGCCTAGGTGCCTGTCCTTGTCACAGTCTGTAGCTTCTCTTGCAGTATGCTGCCCCCACAAGGAACAAGGCTCCTTGAGGGGCTCTGTGTTTTCAGGTTTTGTTTTGTGCTTGGCGTTTAGCATCAAAACGATAACATTCAATACATATTTATTGAAGGAATAAACGTGTAAGTCTTATTGATTTTGAATCTACTCCGGCCTCAACATTTGAGACTGACCTGGGCTGCCTAGAACAAGGAGAATAAAATGATTATATTAAGGGTATTCTTCACATGCCAGTGCGTAGTAGGTGCTAAGTCTTATTGAATGGATGGTTACAAATGTCTCCATGTTAATGCTCTGGGACTTGTGTGTAGCACCATTTCTTTCTTAATGGCATGGATTTTGAAACAAAGCAGCCCTGTGGGGTAGCATTGAGACCTCCCTAAACTAGTTATTGCAGGGAGACAGAGAGATTCTAATTACTATTCTCTTTGTACTTAAAAATGTATATTTCTGCCCCTTCATTAAAGGAGAACATGGGCTTTTTAGTGCAAGTAACCCTTATAGGTCAGGACACTTGTTCCTCTATTTTCTAAAAAAAAATTTGTATTCAGGAAACAAAGACTGGAAGTACTTTAGCAAAGGCAGTTTAGGTTCCTATATCTCTTCCTTGCATCATGAGTCCTGCCAGTTAAGACTGCACTGCACCAGGGTGGGAGGGGGTGGCAGCAAGCCAGGATGGCCTGTAGCATTTTGATAAACAAACATCAATATTTATCAGAGCTGCTCCGACGTGCTTCCTTAGCTGTAGGAATGGGGAGTCCTCCCTGGGCTTGTGTATAGCTTTCTCTGCATGAGATAAATGTTTGGGGCCACTAAAGGAAAAAAAAATATTTGTACTCTGCTCCCCAGTTACCTAGGCTAATTTACTGCTCTAGTAGGTCTTATAATTCATTAATAATATGCAAATACAAATCAAGGGAAGAAATTGCCTTGTTAATTGACTTTTGCGATGCTAATCTAAGACTCACTGGCTTTGAATGTTATGCAACAACTGTGTTTGTATCACAGAGGAACAACTGCCTTTAGAGAAAGCAGAAAGCCACCAAAGCAGATGCTTGAAATCTTTGCTGGGGGCCTTGTAAACAGATATGCACTTATCTTAGTTCTCTTGAGGAATCTGGAAGTAAAGGGCACAAAGAAAAAGAGACAAGAGACAGTGACAGACTCAACCGTTGAAGAATACACCCCAGATGTGTGATGAGGGAAGGCCACACTGGGCTGCACTGGCCAGGCTGTCTAGGCGGTCCCAAGGTTCCTGCCCCAGCCCATAAAGGTGCCACAGGACTGATTAGAAACAATACAATCAGACTCAGGTAATTGGTTCAAGTAGAAGCAAAGTTTATCAGTCCTAAAACATCAAATATGCCCATATCTGTTCTCCACTGATATCCCTGGGCCAGCCTCTGTGTCTTTATGTCCTCTCTGATCTGTGCCTATGCAGGAGACATGGAACTTTTGTGACAGTTTCTAAGATGACCTGGGAGATGGTAGAGTTCAGTAATGAGGTTTCACAAGCCAACCTGAGCAGACTCAGTTGGACCTGGATTTGAATCTTAGACATTCTCTTTTCCTCTGCAGTGCCAGGCACATACCCCAACAAGGCTGGGAGCAGGAGCTTCAAGTTCATGGTTGTGATCTAGACATTAGCAGCCTTGAAGGCTCCATCACAACTTTTGCTCCAAATCTGCTTTGGCCATCCAGATGAAAAATCTGGCTCCTCCTGGAGCAAGCCCTTCACCATCTTCATGGGAGCCATGTAGATTTTATGGCAGATTGCACAAGACAGACAACTGTGTCTTTAAATCACACAATCCCCAGCATGCAGCCTTGGTCCCGTTGCTTGATTTTTTTCTCACTATTCTCCTTGATTGCTTTGCCTCTGGGACTTTTCCTCTTTGACCAAGCCCTTTGGAGTTTCCTAATACCTTCCATTCTTGCCTTTCTTGATTAAAGGAGTAAAAGAGAGAGAAACTAGATTTAGAGATTGAAAATTGAGAATCTCTTTTTTATTCTGTAAGGTGGGGATGGTAATTCCTACCTCAGAAGTAACAGGGAGAATTAAATGGGAGTTAACTGAATGTGAACTCTAAAGCAACACTTTTCAACTATGGGCCATGAAATCAGTTTAATGAGTTGCTACCAGCATTAAAATGAAATAGGATAAAGTGGAATAGAGAAAAGCAGTGTGCATCACATTGAATAGGCATAAATTCTGTTTTGTAAGTCTTTCTACCACCCCCCTCCAGCACCAGGGATTGGATCCAGGGGTGCTCTATCACTGAACTACATCCCAGCTCTTTTCTTCTTTCTAATTTTTTTTTTTTTAAGTTTGAGACAGGCTCTTGCTAAATTGCCCAAGCTGGCCTCAAATTTGCAATCCTCCAGGCTCAGTCAACCAAGTAGCTGAGATTACAAGTGTATGTTTTTTTCTGAGTTCTTATATCTATGTGCATGTATGTGTAAGTGTGTGACCTCTGGCAGTATAAAATGGACTTTGTGCAGTAGGTTATGGTAAAAAAAATTGAAAATATTTCTTTAAGAGCTATATGGATTAAAGTATTTCTCACTAGCATTTACTTTAGTTTTAAGGTGGTGATCTCTGAGATTTAGTGAGTCAAAACCCCAGATGCTGGAAAGATCAGAGACTCCCCAACACAGTCTAGGTCCCAGCCAGAGAGAGAATGATATCACATCGAAGACAGCTTGGAGACCTAATTCTGTTCACAGATATTTTTGTGACATCTGATAATTACTATCATCTGAAAATGAAGGGGTTGGATAGAAAATAAATATCGTTTTCAACATCTCTGGAGATTTGGAGATTTGAAGATTTGGAGATTTGGCCACATGAGGCGTCTTTCCCACAGCCCTCGCCTGCCTGTGTCCTCTTCTATCTGCTAGCTATTCTCTGAAAGTTTTCTAGGTTCTTGACTCTCAGTGGACTCCGCAGAGCAGAGTGGCTACACACTCCTTGCCCTGGAGTCCTTCTCTAGTGAAGCCTCAATGTTTGTTCTGAAGAGCCATAAAGCTGAACTATCTTTTTGTCCAAACCCTTGTTTTTCAGTAGATGAAAAGAAGCCAAGAAAGAAAGAGGTGATTCAGCCGAGGTCACACAGATCACTGTTGATGGGGGTGGGAAAAGAACACAAGTTTCTATCTCTGTGGTTCAGTGCTCCTGTTCAGCTGCCATTTCCTTCATAGAGATCAAGATTTTAGCAAGAAATATGTTGGATTTACATCAAAGTCATTATCAGTCCTCACTTTTTCCCTCTGATCTCAGCCATGGTAAATGTTTACCCTGCACCAGGAGCTTAGATCTAGAACGGTTTCTCCGTGCCTCTCCCATACGTAGATGCCTCCTTTGTTCTCTGGGACTTCCTCATGGCCTTGCTGTGGCTACAGCTGCCTCAGAGCAGCTTCTGCAGACGGAAGACACCCAGGCAAAGGGACTCCCCAAAGCAGGCATTTGGAAAAGACATATGTCTAGCTCCTGTTTGTTTCACCTCGTTAACATGGGGTGAAATGTTTCCTACTTGTTTCACCCCTTAACATCTTCTTGAGGTCAGAGAACAGCCTGAGATGCATTTTTATCAAGCACAGTCATGGATAATGCTGCATCAGCAACATGACATGTAAGACAGGACTCATATGTGTCACCCTCTGACTGTCCCAGGTGGAAAGTCCAGGGAGTGGGGCTGTTTGCAGAGGGGAAGCCACCCTGTACCAGGTACTGCACTGGGGCTGGATTAATGTTTTTGAATGTTTTAATTTTTAAAGTTGCGTTTACATAATAAAAATAATAAAAATATGCACAATAGAAGGAATAATATAAAAACTTCCATAAGTTATCAAGATTCTTCTATGTTTTCTAACTCTCTTTCTAAACTTTTACTTTGATATAAAATATGAGTAAATATATGCAGTAAATTGCATCAATCATAACTGAAGAGATTGATGAGTTTTAAAACTCTTATTATTTTGAAATAATTTCATACTTAGAGCAGCAAAAATAATACAAAGAATTCCTGTATTCTCTTCACTAAGACTCCTCACATAGTTACCACACTTGCTTCATCATTCTATCATACTTTATAGAGACACATTCTTGTTAATATTTTTCTAGATACGCAGATGCTATCATTTTCTGAACCATTTTCAGGTAGATGATTTTGAGAAGTTTTTTGCCTATGTTATCATTACTCACAAATTGAATCGTAGAACATTTTCTGTACTCCAAAAAGCTCCCTGATGCCCTTTTCCAAAGGCAATCAATGCTCTTATTTTTATCACCATAGATTAGATTTACCTGTTCCTGAATTTGACGTAAATGGTATCATTCTCTACTTTATATTTGCGGGATCATTTTAAAGCAAACCCCAGATCTTGGGTGCTTGCATCTCTACAACACCCTCTAAGTATCTCTAAAAATAATGGGCATTTTCTTACATAATCACAATACCATTGTGGTATGTAAAGGTCATCGTAACACGCTATTGTGGTCCTTTCTATTTCACAGATGAGCACACGGACTCAAGGAGGCAGAAGAACTTGCCCCAGGAAGTAGACAGAGAAGCTGCCAGTCTTCCATCTGAGTCTGTACTTTTGGGGCTTATTGTCTGCTGTGGACCCATGAAGAGTGCCCCGCGGGGCTTTGGCTGTCCTGGAAAACAGGAAAGGCCATATCTCGGCTGATCCGTTCCCACTCCACAAGTGGTGCTTCATTTATATGCTTACTGGTATTTCTGATGGGTGCTGCCTGCTGCCTCAGGGTGCCTCTTTCAGCAGCAGAAGAAAAGGCAGCACTCAGCCCCCAGGGGCCCAACAGATGGAGCCTTGTGTGTGTTTGAAGGCTGCTGAGGCCTTCCCATTCAGCACCATCTAGACTTCAGCAAGTTGCCGAGCAGAGTCAAATCATCAAAACACAGAACTGACACATGCCTTTAATATTTCAGATCATATTTGCAAATGAGTTCTAATAATACACAAACCCACATTTTTACAAAAAAGGAAACAAACCCACAGCAACCCGTTATTCCAAGAAGGAAGCAGTGGGGTGGAAACAAATCAAAAAGGGCATATTTTCCCCCTTGAAGACCAGTGTAAAACTCCCCAGGAACAAATAACTTATTATAAGCTGAATCAATTCCTCGCAATCACAATTTTATTTTCTCCTAAACTGTAAGGTCCCTATAGCAACTAGATAAGTCAAAGACTTAAATATATTCACAAATCAAACCTTACACTCTTCCCAGAGGATGTATTTGTTTGGTAAAAAACATTACTGCTTGTTTCTAAAACAGAGCTGGATGGGGCTGTTTGAATAGAACTGGATTTTCAGCAAAACTATATTTCCCAAATCGCTTCTTTGTTCTCCATGTGATGGGTCTGGTGACTGTTATAAGGTTTTCAAGCTGTGTTCTTTTCTAGGATCAAAAGAAGGGCTTCATAGACTGTGGGGAGGAGGTGTTGACTGACGAGGGTAAGATTTCATTTAACCCTCATGGCCCCCTAATGAGGCATGAGTTTTTCTCTCCAATTTGCAAGCGGGGTGCGTGAGACTGGGGAAAGATTGAATCACTTGCCCGAGGTTGCTGGGTAGCAGGGACAGAACTAGGACTGAACTATGTCCCTATCTGGAACTCCCTGACTTACATTCCAATTTCTGTCTATGATTTTAGCGGCATGGGGCCTTCACTTTGCTGGTCAGAGATTTCTTCTTCCACCCCACCAAGATTCTGTCACTGAAGTCAGGAAGGGCTTTTACCTGCCTGCCGCTAGCTGGAGAGGCCAGCAACACTACCCCCTCTCAGGCTGCCTTAGCACTAATGTACAGAAGCACCGTGGGCCTATCCCCCAAGGCCTCATGATCTCCCCAGAGCTTGATGGTGTTCAGAGATATAGGGCAGGAAGAACTCTCTGGAGAAAGGGTCCTTTTTTAAAATTTCATTTCACAAACACAACGAAAAAATTCTGCTAATAGGATTGCCAGCTCAGCAGGCCTAGGCAAGCGATTCTTGGGAAGCAGGAAGCATCCTGGCACACCTAGCGATGGGCTGCAAGGAACAATGACAGGCAACCAGGAGGGCTGCCTTGTTCAGCCCCTAGGAGCAGCTCCTACTGAGTCTGCGCTTTTCCTGAGGCCCCTGTGGCTCTCAGGAGCAGGAAGCACCCTGTGGCTGTCTAGGCTGCCTGAGCGCAAGCAGCTCTGACCACATTAGTCTGTCTCCCTCCTTGAGCAATGGCATTGCCAGTGAGGAAGGGAGTCCCTCTGGTTCAGGTGTGACAAACTGGGGACCTATCCCTTACCCTACAGGTTTCCCTAGGGAAGCAGCAGGCTATCTGGGCCAAAAGAAGCCCCTTCCAGCTAATCCTGGGCTGCCACCAGCAGCTCTAACTTGGAGCTGATACACTGCGGACAGCATCCTTGCTATCTGCCATCTCCCCGGCTGGGCTGGTGTCATGGGGATCTCCATACTGTGCTCTTCCTGGGCTTCTTATCTCTGGCCTCTGACAGCAGCTGACTGTGGGGAGGAGCTGGGAGTGGGCAGACTGGGTGCCAAGAGGGAGGCAGCTGCTCTGAGGGAAGGCAGAGAGGTTGACGCCGGGCTGTGCCCCCGAAAAGGTGCACCTCACAAGCCCCCTCCTCTTGCAGACCACAGACCTCCCTGGAAAGTGATCTGTGGCTGCTTACTTCTTGGGGTAGAGCATAAACTCCTCAGGTGACATCCAGAGCTTGGTGAGCTTACCCTTGACCTTACATCCTGTGCTCAGGTTGAGAATTTTCCACAATGCACCATGCTCAAGCAACTTTCTCCCCTACTTTTCCTTTACTTGGGTAGTTACTCTCCTCCCTCAAGTCTTCGCTCCAGCATCACCTCCTGCCTGGCTCTCTGAAGGCCTTCCTGGATGTATCCCCACATCTTGCCCTGTCTGTACACCAAACGACTGGTAGCAGGGCATTATTCTGGGCAACATTTGGGGAAATACAGGCAAATCTTAGGGGGCAGTGAGCACTGCATCTGGTTTTGCCTGCAAAACCTGTTGCAGAGGCTCCAGACTCTTTCAATCTTCTTTATTTCTCAGAAGCAATTGAGCTTATTCCTTTGCCTTCATTTTAAACCCAGCAGTAAGTGCTGAGAGTGCTGCTCCCTATTGACGGGGAGCGTGAACTGCTTCCTTGTTTTCTCTATCCCATTAAGCACAGTGGAGCTGGAGCCTTTTGCACATTTGCTCGATATCCAGGAAATGAACGTTTGGAGGACACCAAGGGGTTCCCTGGAGAGTGGATACTCATGCCCCTTTTGGAAGAGCTGAGGCTTTCACATCCAACTGCCTCTCCTAGGGCAGCGAGGCCTCAGAACCTGTGGGCTCACAGGGGTGGCAGTCCCAGTGGAATGGGAGATGGATGACCTCCACTCTGCCTAGAGATGCATTTTTAGGCCAGTAGTTTTCTATTGCTGATCACAGTGCAGCAAATTTTCACCTCTCCAGCCAAATTTATTCTCCACTCCCATTGGCTGTCTAGGTGCCTGCCTTTTTGCTCAGGTCTGGGGAGAATGTTGGGACAGTAGAGACTGCCACCTAGAAATTGGAAATGGTTGGGAGTTGGCAGGAACTTGGTGTGTGTGGGGGCTGGAGACTCAAGCAGCCCATTTCTGTCTTACTACTCACTGATGCTGAGCTTGAAGGGGTTTGCTTTGTTTTTATTAATAAAGAAGAGAAATGTCGGGGCTGGGGATTTAGCTCAGCGGCACAGCGTCTCCCTGGCAAGTGCAAGGTCATGAGTTCGATTCCCCGTACAGGAAAAAACCAAAAAACCAAACAAACAAGAAGAAAAATGTCTTAATGTTATAAAGTACCTGAAGTGGCTATACAACAATCAAAATTAAAAAAAAAACACAATCAAAATTATCAGGCACCAAACTATAAGGATTCATATAAGGTAGATGCCCCGATCACAACAGCTGCTTCTTCTCTGATGGGTTCAGATACAAAGAAGTAAGACCGAGTCTGGGCTATGTGACCCATGCTTCTGCCTTACTCATGCAATTCATTGGCCCATAGGTGGGCACCTGACCAAAGCTGACCCAGTGAGAGCTTTTCTCTGGGAATTTTTCAGATAGGAACCATTTGTATATGTAAGGCATTAGCATGTGAGATGGAAGCTGTGGGTTGGCATGTTCTCAACTATGTGGAAAAAGTAGGCTGCAATGAAAGAGAATGAAATCAACAGCAGAGGAAAGGTGGCATTTGAGTACCTGATCTCATATGTTCCTACAGCCAGCTGCAGCTCTGTCCCTTCTGTACTTAGGTGAGATACTTCCTTTACATCTGAGCTACACTTTTGTCACTTGTGATCAAAGCACACTGACTCACAGAAAAAAAAAAAACAACCCTGTCAAGCATCTGCCATGTCAGGAACTATTTATTCCTAAACCCTCCACCCTCTCTTGTGCCTTAAGAAAGGCCATTGCTTCTGTAGAATATGATGTCAGGGGGGAACTCAGCAACTTCATAGTGTCTAAAAATGCTACATTTAGTTCACTGGAAAAGTGTTTGTGAATAAACAAGTAAACAAAGCACAACTTTTGACTTTCCCTCATCATTTTGAAAACCTTCTCACGGCCACTTCTGCTCTGCTGTCCTCCATCTGACCTTGACATACGTGTGCTGGGATAGAGGAAAGTGGAACTAAATTCCTGGTTCTGTTCCTTCCCAGTTCCACCACGTCAGACAAACCACTCAGCTTCTCTGGGAGTTTGTTTTCTCATCTATAAAACGGGGGAAATAATATTACTTAACTGAAATTCCTTAGGAGGCCCATGTAAGAGTGAATTCTGAATTTCATGACTGTGACACTCTCTTTTGAAACGAAAGCAGGTCTTGTGGTCTGACAGCTCTTCAATCATTTGATTCAATTCACTTCCAGTAACTTTTGCTGAGTGGCCACCACATGTCAGTTCTGTTTTGGGAACTCAAGATTCTGCAATGAGCAGGAAAGATGAGAGCAGTTTTAAGAATCTGATGTTTTAATGGGGACAACAGAAAACAAACAAGTAAACCAATGGAGAGAAGCCCTGTGAAGAAAACAAATGGGACACAGAGCAAGCGGGATGATCACTTGAGAAGAGAGTAGGGAAGGGTATTTGAAACTAGGACAGTCCTACAAAATCTGGGCCACGTGGTACCCATAAATATAAGCCCCTCACATTAGGTCATACACCCAACATGCTGGTGACAGGCCATAGCCAAGGAAGGATGTGTGTGAATAGCACACGCCTGGCTGGTTTGGGGCACAGAAACCCAAAGAACTGATAGCCAGACTTAACTTTTCTTATGCCTTAAGGAAAAAATAATAAATGTGCTAAATGAACAATAGCTCAAATAGGGAAAACATGCCCAGTCTGAGCTCGCATTTTGTTCGCTTGCTCCCATTGGCATTTCTTTGCTATTGGATAATACTTTGAAAACCTTCCAGATCAAGGCTGATTTTATATCTGATCTTCTTGGACAATTGGGCCTTATTCAGGCTGGCAGACTTGGAGTCTCCTGCTGCTGATATCTTCAGAAAAGACTACGATAGCCAAGCTTAACAAATTTGATTCCATGAGAATCTAGATGTTGGGAGGAGCGTGTCTTCGCCATTGTGCTGGGCACACGACGCCATTCCATCCTTAAGGCATGGAGAGGCCATATGCATTAGCCTAGGTCACGAAGCTGGTTTCAACCCACTTGCACCTGCTGCTAAATGCCTGGGTCATTTCACCTTACTACTTGGCCTCTCCACCAGTGACTCCTGTCCACATAGGTGTATCCCAGCGTGCCTTAAACAAAGTCATTATAAGAAGTTTTTCTGTACCCCTTATCAATGAAGCAGTACCACTGCTCAGTGTGGTGCTGTGGACATTTTTCTTGTTGTTTGTCAGTACTTTCCCCCTTATTCTCAGCTTTGCACCCCTCTTTCAAGGAGTGGTACCTTCTTCACTGAGTTGCTTTCAGAGCCATAGAAGCTTGGTCCCCCCTGAAAAACAAAACAAAGCTAGTAGGAACAATCTCGGTCTCTGCTGGCTGTAGCCATTGGCCTAGCAATGTAGATATGACCAATCAGAGTCGTTCTCAGGGATGAGAGGAATGAACTGTTGCCTCTCCAGTAGTGACTGTCCCGGGAGAGTGCAGAGCTGAGGGAAATGGTGTTCCAGTCTTGAAGAATGTGGGTTTGGGAGAATCAAGCCATAGAGAATGTATAATCCTAAAGGTTTAGGGACTCTTCTTTTGAATCTTTCTGTCCTCCACTTTGAGTTCATTTCTAGACCATGCATTCAGAGAGGTCTCGCTGAGAGGCCAGC